GTCCTTTATTCTCTTTCTTACAGAGGCAAGTAGACGATTATCGATATAAAGACAGTTTACCATTGTATTTTTTATGAACGGGTACTGTCTCTCAAACTGTTTTACGACTTCATGAGGATGAAGAACATTCAAATAATGGTTAAGAATTTACCCCCTCCTCTGCAAAATTGCGTTCAATTTTAATTTTAAAACTTTATCACTGGAGTTAAATTAGGAGCAAAATTTTTTAGATTGAATTTTACACCGATATAAGATCTTAAACTGTCACCTTAATTTTAGCGCATACGAATAATTTTCTTTTGCCGGGGACTTTTAACCTTAACATGAAATACGAAAGCACTTTCCGAGAATCTATGAATACGCTTTAAGCTTTAAATCAGTGTACGAAATAAAATGTACTATGTACTGTTCAAACATACTTTTTTACTATAATAAACTCTCCACCGATTTACTCTTGTTATCGCTAAGTGAGGATTAAAAATTAAAATAACGTTGCCCAAGATAAACAATTCAAGTTTGTGGGCTCTGTGGGGACTCCTAAATTTTTAACAAAAACGATCCGCTCAAGCGACTAGTGATACGAATTGAAATATAGAAAATCATTGTTATCGGGCTGGTAAATTTAGTTACGTTGCATTTAACGGCAGATTCAAACGATGCGACGCCGAAAAAAAATAAAATATATGAAAATACTTTTCGGTACTAAACCACACCCGATCCCCGCATCACATTAAAACGAAGAAAACTGGTTTCAGCGTTTTATTGAATGGTTGCCGACTATCAAATAAATAACGGAAAATAGCAGAGCGCCTATATAAAACGCTTGAGTGATGAAAGGAACGGATATACTGGAATAGTTTATTTTGACGAATATTTGCTCTTGCCAAAATTTGTGTTGTTGATGAAATTGAGTGGCGTAAGAAAGTAGATGATATAGTTTTTCTATCTTACTGCTTCGAGCTTGAAAACGTTGATTTATTTTATGATTAGGAAGACGGTCTTGTGCCCTTTTTGTTCCGTTACAAAACTGAGCATCGAGACATCTGTCTAGCGGGTTTCCTTACGTGCATGCAGTCTCGCGTGCTAAGTACGTTTTGATTTAAGATTTAAAACGTTTCTTTATAATCCATAAAATACTTCCGATGTACATAAATTTACTATCTAGTCGAAGATGATATTATCATCTGAAAGTACCACGTAGCCGTTCTTTAGATACAGTTGCTTTTTTTAACATCTTGAGAAGTTTGCGTAGAAAAAAACACTTATGTACTCGACGAACATTTTAGCTCGGCAAAACTCTATTTAAGAAAATGAAAGTTGATCATGTGTTGTTGAAAATAGTGTTTACTTTACGAGGAATATTTTTGATCAAGTTTCTCCCCATGAGTTGGGTGTGAAAACTTCTTAGCTTTCCTACAAAACAACAGTTTTTAGCCAGTCATTACATAATATCTTTCCTCACAAAGCACCATGATAAACAGCAATCACTTTGTGCGTCAACGGCTACTAAAAAGGTAATAGTGTTGGGAAAGTTTACCGCTCCTCGACAACTAATATCTTAGTTTTAATTTCGCTTATTTTGGAAGCTTCCTTTCGCATAGATTACTTGGATCCCTGAGGGCACCGCAAAGTGACCCTCAGCAGTTAAGAGAATATTTAAATTTACTTTGCACCAATAACTTTAATAAGCAATCACTGATTACCACAAACCAAAACAAAGGAAAAATAAAAATTACTGATAACCGTATAGATAGGAAACGAGAACCGCTGGAGTTAGTGCTAATGAAAAAAATCTTTGTCATTTACATTCCTGGTCTAGGTCGCCCACTGAGCCTCTTATATGCCACTTATTTTGCAAAGAAACAGTCCGGTCGGATCGTTTTAACGGCTAAATAAGAAAGATAAAACAAGTTTAATCTGTTTGTTGATCGCTACCTTGTACATTGTACTCGTACATTATGTGGTGTATGCTTTTTACGAGTTGTCCACCTAAGGAACCACGCGAAAACACCCAAATGAACACACTGTTAACAAAAACCTACCTCATCTCCGGGGCTATGCTCTTGCCTGTACCCTCTAAGATAGCAAATAAACCAGAACACGTTCAGCTTCCATGGCTCAACCTAAACCCTTAGCTTAAGTTTCTATAGTAGGCACCTGGTTGATTAGAACTCTACGTCCACCAAAACCAGTGGCCTGCATGGAGGAAAGTAGCCTAACGTGGGCTAAGCTCTTTGAAGGCAATTTAATACTTTAATAATTGATCATACATTGTTTGAAGGCGATTTGTTTGCTATTAAACTCATTTTTTACAGCACGTGTATTCTGAAACAAAGTGATGCTGGCCTTACAGGCGTGTGTCTGCTTAAAAACACTTAATAAACTTATCTCGCCTTTTTTGTAGAGGGCCTCAGTGAGTGCGAGCTACAGCCGCTGTATTTGAGACCTGGGCCTCCTTGTTTCAGCGACGCCTAACATCTCGCACATCAAACTTTCTCCTAGTAGTAAAGCTCGGCAAATTACATATTAGGTCGGCTTACAGTGTTCACTTGTGTAATTTTCTTCTTCCTTAGTTTACCTCGAAAATTTTTAATTTGCTTTCTGGGGGATTAACAGTAAATTGGGTGTTTTCCGGTGATTATGGTATTAAGGTAAAAATTAAAAATGAAATACCCCGCTCTAGGTGTTTCGAGGTATAAGAACGGAAAGAAAATAACTTATGTTTGTGGTTACGTGTTGCTCTTCCACTACAAATGCTATTATTCTTCGTAAGAACTGCGGAGTGAGTAATTTCCTTGATCCAAGTTTCTATACAACACAACACAATGACCCTTTTTAAAGGGGAATTAAAATTAACACTGCAGTCAATTGATGCAGTTTCAAGGGCAAGCGCTTTTATTTTGCTTGAGTAAACATTGAACTAGCCTGGAAACAAAACCTCAAAAACTGGCCACCATTTATTGATCTTCGGAATAAACTCTGGCTGTTTTTCGCCCCTTTAGTTATAATCTGTCTCATTTACTTTAATTTATTATTAATGAGACTCGCATATTTACCTTCAGTAATGAAGAGACGAAAGTTATACCATTTAAGAGATAGTTTAAATAAAAGAGTAGTTATTGTAAAGAGTAAAATGTACCTTATTTTTCGGTTTAGAAGTCCATTAGCCCGGTAAGCGCTCTGATTGCTCGAGAAATAATGAGTTTTCCGAGGTAATGATCTCCCTTCTATTCTGATGCAAATTTAATTTCCTTCACCTCTATTTAAGTGTCGAAATATTTCCGCACCATTTTATCCACTTTTAAAACCAAGTACAATGATAAAATGTTTTCTTTAATTCAATTTACGATATCCTTTCAAAAAATTCGCGAATCATCTTTGAGATTTTCTAAACAAAGTGAAAAAGAAGAAGTAATTTCCGCGTTCGAAAAATAAAAAGGGAACTGTACACACCCTGGTTGCAGAAACTGACTGAACGGTTTGCATATTAAACGTACGCGCATGGTTTTCCACTTTCAGTTTGTTTTCCTTGGCTTCATCTCAGTGTGGAGCAATCTAACCGATGATTTCCAGTTTAAAACTCGGTCTTCTAATTATAAAAGAAACGTTGCGAATTCGAGCAAATATGTTTAAGCACCTTTGTTCTCGACACGCGTCTGACACGCGACTATCAGCAGGTGCCAAAAGTATGCCCCGCCTAACAAAAAAAACCTAGATTTGATCCTAGATTTGCTCGTTTCCTACTAAGTAGACAAGACGTGAAATGAAAGTACATTTTAGAAAAATCAAGGTCATTCTAAGAGACCGATCAGTACTCGAAAGACCACGGTGACGTCTCTTCCACTGTACACACATGCATCAACGGTTAACTAGACAACAACCTAATGCAAAACCAAATTCGAAACCTGAAAAATAACACATATTTGTTTTCTTATTACCATTTACTGCATGCTCTCTTAATAAAGAGTTGGTGGTCTTAATAAGAGTCGTTTCCATTGGAAAATGTTAGAATACCACTAATTAAATAAACCTATCTAATCACTGATGATTGATTTGGGCGCGAACTTCTTTGTGTTCATTAATTCGTAATTGGGACCAAGCGTGTTTACATGTTTCCATTTCTGCAATGTTAATTCGAAGGATCTTTATCTAAAGGAGTAAAATTAGCAAAATATGCCTTCAGGTCGCGGCACCAACTAAATCGAGGAACATTGATAATATGCATTAAAACGACGCGCATAAGACATTTGATTTTTACAGCACAACCGTTTTACAATTCCTTCGCATTAATTTATCAGAACAGAGACTCGGGTGTTTAAAACAAGGCATTAAGGAGAAATCAAGTTTTGAGAAATTATGTCTTCGGGGGAACCTCGAATCTTATAGAGCGAAACGTAACTACTTTTTGGGCCAAATTTGATACAAATGCAAAAAATACACCTGTGACCTTGATTTATTATTCGAAGTAAATTTCATTCTCCTTCCATCACTAGATTTGACCATCCGGATATCGGGTAGAAGTGAAAAAAAAAGTTTAGATTTAATCTCTGCTAATTCCGCACTTCGCAACAAATCTCCCTGTCGCGGCGATCGTTTAAGTACTAATATACCTTGTTTGTGTTTTCTCGTGCTCCGTACTCACTAACGGAAATTCTTACAAAAATCCATTAATGCCATGTAGGAAATGCGAGGCAGTTTGTTTTTTTTTCCTCCTTTGGCGAAACCCTGTTGATCAATTGCTCAAGTCTCCGTAAGGGGCCAGCCAATGCACATGCGCAGTTGGTATTTAAGGCAGGTGCTCATGGCCTAGGCAGCTCATTATAAGCGAGTAGCTCAGAGCTCAATGAGGTGTGAAGGGCATGATGAAAAATATTTGATTTATTACAAAGACTTATTTAGTTTTGCTTAGCCATTGTTCACATCTTGATCATTGTCAACGGCAAACATAGCTCGGAATATAAAGAGCTGACGTTTTATTAAAATCTCATAAACCAAAAGTAAGTGAATACGTAAAGACCGGTCATCACTACAACTGAGCCAGCGGCCGTGTAAGGATCCTTGCCGAGATGTCTGTTTGGATAACACCACCACTCTTGGAAAACCCAAGCGGACCCCTGAATATAAGTCAGGAGGTCTTGAGAAGTGTTTTATACGGCAAATGGTGCAACGTTTTTGGAGGCCAAAAGGAACTCACGTTTAAACCCGGTGTTTTGGAGAAAGTGGACTACAATTCCGATGAAGGTAAAAAAATCTCACGTTTCTATCTTCATTACATTAAGAGTATAAATTATTACATCGTAGAACCTGAATGAAATAGAAAATACAGCGCGATTAAAGACCCTGTTGCGTGCTTCGGCACCTCTAGAGTTTTGAGCAATGAGAAATTATGTAATTACTTCTCTTTAAACTAGTGTTTAGTTACGGGCATTTAATACTGCTTTCTCATTTTCCCTGTTTCCACGCGTAGCGAAACACACTGTCAAGGGCTCGTAAATTTCGCATTACATATTCTTTTGGAATTTAACTAAGGAATGCCATTAATTTTTAACGACTTAGGGAAGTTTATAGTCTCTAGTTTATTTTAATGAGAACTCTGGTTTTATTAAACACGCACCTTTTTACTTTTTTGTATTCAGAGTGTAGATGCTAACCTTACACCTTTCGCCGTACAGCTTTGATAACTTAAAAATATACTAAGGCAGGCAAGGAGAAAGAAAACGAACACAGTGTGTAAATTTGCAAAATCGCGTGAGATTATCCTCGCTTTCATATATTTTTACGCAGCCTTAGAAAATGTCGCTCCGGGCTGATTCGAAATGTTTTTTTTTTACTTATGAAACTAAACAAAAGCACAACACAGTTCATTGAATATGAGTTAAAGTTGTAGACACGCCCTTCTGCACGTGTCATCACAATTCCTATAACGCGCGAACGAATGTGAACGACCGTACGTGTTTTACTCAATGTCTTACGAACGTTTTGTACTGTTTCCGGCTGTCTGGTGGAATGGTCATTAGTGTGTGATCTACCAGCAAACAACTTTTCAAACATGAAGGCGAAAATGCTTCCTTATTTCAATTGTAATTTCGGAACGATAATAAGGTTTAAATACCCAATTTGCTTTGGGCAGGTGGACCTACTCCGAATGAATATGCATGTCAACTCGGAAATTTAACTAAAAACACTTAATTCTACCGGGTTTTGTAAACTGGCAGTGTTTCTTGGACTTTTAGGCTCTTTGAGCAAAGTTCATGCCTTATCGCTGGATGTTTTTGCGATTGCAAATCGCAACAGGGTGAGATAATTCCAATGTTTTCTTTTTGCTCGGCAAGTGATTCCTAAGTTATCGAAAAAGGTGACCTACATTGAAATTCTCGAGTGTTGAGGTGACATTGCACATCAAAGGAAATAGAGAGGAAAAAGAAATATGTTTGATCTTGTGTAATTTCGAATTTGATTTTCGAGAGAAATTAGCATGTTTGGACATTTTTTATCGTGTAATTAATGTCTGCTAGCTGGCATTAAACAAAGATTAGCATATCAAAGCACAGTAACATGATGTAGTAACAATGACCAGAAAACAGTCAAACTCAAAGCAATGAATGTAGTTAGACAAACGCGCTTCCTACGACAACTTGCCAGGCTCTGCCCCCAACCACGTGACTGCGAGTCAAAGAAGACCTCGCCTCTATCGCAACATTGCATCTACTTGGAGAAAGTAAAACCAAACAAAACAAAACCAGCCATTGAAAGAAAGTCGATGAAGCTGCTTGTTTTTATAAAACAAGCTTCCGTGCTCACTTAATTCAAATACGTGTGCCGTATTGTTCAACCTTCTTTACTTTCGCATTGTTTATGAAATTTTACCAATACCCAAATAAAAACCTATTATGAGAGAAGTGTTCAGTAATGAAAAATCGCGAACCATATCCTTCCTCTGCATATCTTAACTTCCGCAATCATCTCCAAATTTACTTCTTTGGTTTGTGTTTCACACTGTGTTCTCCATCAAAGGCGATTGTTTGTCTCTGATAAGAGCCCAAAGCATAACAATTCGTTAGAGATTAATGCGTCGCGTAAACCATCCCTTTCTACCTGCTTATCACAGTGTATTTAGCACGTTCCTTGGGTTTACTTTAATTCAAGATCATAAAGATTATTATTAGAAAATCCTCGAAGCAGGTGGCTTCGCATAAATAACCTCACTAAAAATCTAAATCATTACTAGTGAAGGATAAAAGAAAACTATTTTATCTTTCTTTTTTTAAACCGCGCATCACGCTTTCTCTTTCTTTTTCCCGTTTCGGTACTATCTTAACTAATTTAACAATCTTCTAGTTCGGATTTCTTTCTAGCGGCGAAATGAAATAAAACGTTATGAATAATTGATTGTACACGACTTCTGTTTACTGCAATTGAAAACTACATTACAGAATAGCGTTTCGTTTTACGACCGTTGCAAAAAAGAGAGTTTCTTATTTTTGCTATACGTTTATTCCGAATTTTAACAAGTTCTTTCAATATGTAAAATCTTTACTCCTTTTTCTGTTCCTGTTTTCAACATCCGCTGACTTAAAAATGCTCATGACAAGCCGTATTTTACTCACTTAATGCATATAAAAACTGTATGCAAGAATACAATTCAGTTATCTCGACTATAAAAATCAATTTTTGCTCAAAGGTAGAGGTGGATTGCTCAGTTTTTAGGTGATGAAAATGTTGTATATTAGTACTAATTGACTACTTTCTGGTTTTGTGTTTTTCCTGTTCTTTTTAGAACCAGACGCTGGGTACATGAACAGTATCAAGCGCGTTGGATCAACGGCCTTGGTCCCGGTTCTAAGCAACGACAGCACCAAAAATAAACAGTTTAGCCTCGAAAATGACTCCTTTTTCATGGCATTTGTCTCCCTTCCGGAGCAGGTCACTATAGCGCCATCCTCAATCCCGGGAGTTCAACTCGGAGTATTCAGTACGTGTTGGATCAAAGAGGGCACACAGATGGGGCCATACACGGGGAGGATTGTTAAAATTGAAGAACTCAGCTCCGACGTTGATAACAGCCTCATGTGGGAGGTAGGTAACTTCCACAAATAACATCATGATTCTCGAGTCTTATCTTGTTTTGAAATTACGTTATGCAAGATGCTGGCTAAACCTTATCGCGTAAAAAATCAGAAAGCGCCGTAAGAAATACAGCCTAAGTCTGCAGGGAATCGGAATCATAATCAGTTAAGGACTGAATCCGCTTTATTAGATTTCTTTTTCTTAAGTTAAGTCTTCTTATTCACCAGTCTTTGAAGAAATTCAAAATAAATGACTTTCAGCAAGTAAAATGCTAATATAAGCTTGATATGCAAAGCTTGATATGGTTTCCTGATGAATTAAGATTAACATGTCTTAACTGTCGAAGAATAATGTAGAAGAATTAATTTGGTTTGGTTCACTTCTCAGCCGTAGATTTTTTGTTACTATTTACGTGCGTGATTTCCTTTGCCTCTAACCAGATAACTCTTGGTTACTATACTGTGAAAATATGGTTTAGATAATTAATAAACTTGTCTTCAACCGGAGAAAATCCAAACACCGTAAAAACTCTCGTCTATAATGTGCAACGGGGAATAAAAGCTGGTAGTTTCGAAAAACTGATAATCCCGGTGCAAAGCACCAACGAAAAAACTAAAGAGGGAGTGCTTAAGAGAAACGAAGTTAACATATAAGCTGATAAATATCCACAAAAGTAAAGTGCCCATGATTCTGACTATGTTTGAGTTGTACACATGATATTTGAGGACCTCTTTGATCGATTCACAACACATTGAATTCTTTTGGCGTAGACATTATCAAAGATGGGTACCCAGGCACGTAACTGTAACATTTCTATTTTCTGCGGCGTCATGCAAGCAAGTCGTTTGATTTACGAAACCTCACAGCAGATAAATGAGTTGGCCGGCTGAGTCTGAATATTTACCACGCAAAATGCGAGTTGAATGGCGGTATTTTGATGCTGCATCGCCGTAATCGATTGAATAATTTACCTGCGCGCACTTTTTAGGTTCTTAACGAAGACGGTTCAGTGAGCCATTTTCTCGATGCCAAAGACGAAAACCCGCGCAACTGGATGGGCTTTGTTAACTGCGCAAGGAACGAACAGGAACAGAACTTAGACGTGTTTCAGTACGGAGGAAACATTTACTACCGCGCTGTCAAAGATATCCCACCTGATCAAGAACTGTTGGTTTGGTATGGCGGCACGTATGTTCAGTTCCTTGGCATACCTGGTATAGCGCCTGTAAACGACTTTGTCCGAAGAAAGCGAAGAGGACCCGAGGACGATGAACTTCCAGGTTTGTATTGCATGATAATGTAACATTGAAAATTAAGTTTCTAAGCTTCCCAGGGCAGCGAAGGTTAAGAATGTAGAAATATTATTGAGCAGTGGAAAGAATACCTAAAAAAAGAGCTAATATTTAAACTTGCACGTTTTCATCCACTAAATAGAAAGTTAAAAGTACAATAACATTTGGAACCAAACTACAACTAAGAAGTATATTAAAAGATAAATGGCAGTACAATGTAGTGTTATAATATGAAACCCTTATATCGTATGTTAGAGATTCTCCGTTCAACTAAATCGCATTCGCAATCTAAATCTTATTAGGGGGTATTTCTGAAAGATATCGACGAGGGAAAACATCACTGTATCAGGCCAACCTGGTCAGTATAAAAAAATGCGCGTTCTGAAAATTTTGTTGTTAAAAATCTATTCTAGCGGTACGCGTTTCGAATTAGATTCTCTGAATACTTTAACAATTATGATATTTGGCAATATCCTACTCTGTAAACCTAAAAAGTGAAGTTACGCACGTTTTTCATAGAATGCTTGTTACAGCTTTGCATAATATACATGTTTCTGAGGAAAAAAGTCTTACATTGCAATGATCTCGAATAGAGTTTCGGTAACCACACTCACATTACTGTTACAAGTCACAAACTATCGATGCTACAAATCAACTCGATCTTAAACATTGCACGCCAAAATGGGTTAATATTCAGGTTGTTCGTGCTGCTGAATTTGTTAAATTTACAAGCCAACTTAACTCAGTCCACAGGAACTGCAAAAACAAACCCTTTTTATTTCAGTCTGTTTGTTTCAAATGACTCTTTTGCTTGTGACGCGCGCAATACGATGATTATAAAACCTTTCCTAGCTATTACTGAAATGTAGATCTTACATTCGCTTATGTCAACTGCCCAGGTATACTTTGAGTATTTGCGAAATTTAATAACATGGTTTGCCAGTCAGTACTTATGCAGTTATGCGAGCAGCGAAAAGCCTTGCTGAGCCATCAAATTTGTTTTATTTTTCTTCGCCGGAACTGAATTCATTTCTGCACGGTAATATTTTAGCCGCAGCTTTATTACATCCATTAGTACAGCGCTTTTATTGAAATGTTTCTTCTGAGTGTTATATGGCTATATTACCAAATAATCAAATAATATTGTGTCAGCTAGAGAAAAAAACATGCCAGACCTTTCTTTAATTCTTTAAATCGCGTGTATCAAGAAGACCTTTCATTTTACTAACTAGAAAACTCGACTGGTAAAACAAACCGAATTTAACTGCGTTCTTAATAATTAGAAAAGAGGGTACGTTTTTGTCGAATTTGCATTTCCAAAAGCATGGACCGGGAGTTAATGAATCCGATAAACATTAAAAATATGGTGACGGCGGCCCTTCGCTCTAGATTAGTTCGTGTGAGGTAGTAAACCTTGCCTCAAAGACAATCTGTCATTTTACAAATTTCAAATTACGAAACAAGTACGTAGACGCCTAGTGTTTTCTTAATTATGATTTCATCTGTGGGGTGTAAGCTCTTTGGAGGCGTTAAATTAAGGACGAAAAACCGTGAAGCCGTGGACTGAAGAACAATACTCAGAGTTGTTTAAGTCGGTTAAAATTGTTGTAGTATACAGCGTTTTTTTTTTCTTTCAACGTCTTCAAATGCGTTTTTAGCACTTGTTCTGTGCGCAAATTTTTGCTGTCTTCCTGTAAATTAATTTCGCTGGTTTTGAAGCCACAAAAACAAACGATTCACTGAGATAAATGCGGTAATTATTAGTTAGTTAAGCCTCGAGCTAACATCAACTCGCTGATGCCTTCTGATGTACGCCTAATGGCAATTCGCAAATTACAATTTCAGTTTTGGTTTCTTTCCTTGTTTCTTACACCCACTCGAGCCCTTGCAGCTTGTAAGTAATAATGATTAATACATAATGTTTCCGGTAGAAAAACTCAAAACGTCTCCGTTGTAAACTTAGATCGAATTCACTTGGCATGTTATCATAAATTCTTAATTTGGAAATAACCTTTAAAAGAAAAAAAAGCATAAAACCAATAAAAGAAGACGACTGCGAAAATGGGCGAGATATAGCTAAAGTATGAACCAGAGTCGTTTGCTCTAAGATTGTTATTTCTCCTGATAGCCAAAGTAAATTTACTCATGACGTTTATTTTAAAGAAATAGAAAATAGATTGTGTTACTAGTGCTCCAGGACAGAGAAGAGAGTACAGGGTTAAGACAGCTGTATTTCGATTAATTTAGTAGGCTTTCAAGAAAAATCAATTAGTACGCTAGGGTATAAAATTAATAATGGATTAACTATAATGATTTGTAAACGATTCCAATTCGGCATGTTTAAAAGTGTTCAATTAAAGGGAAGTTTATTTAAACGAAGTGGTTTAATAAAAAGAGCCTTAGCAAACAGAAAGGAGGAGTCTCTGTATAGTATTAAAAACGACCTTTCGCCTGCTCGACGCCACTTTTTTATGGGTAAAAAGCCAGATTTTCTCACTAAAGTACCCTTCTTGCAAACCGTAATAAAGATTTTAACTTGTAAGCAAATTAAACTGGAGAAGCGAAAAGAGAAAAATCGATTGTGAACACTGACTCGCATTGTTAATTATGCTTCACTCAAGACTAGGCTTTCTCTTTCTTTTCTTGTTTTTGGCGCTAATGAAAGAAAACAGGTGATTTCTGCTATATCTGTAAATCAGTTCCTTTGTATTAAGATAACATCATACTAGTTTTGTTGAAATTCTATCTTGCTTGAATGGCTTGCTACTCGAAAAAATGAACGTGATGGCGGAATACCCATTGTGAAGCCAGTATTTTTAGCCTTAAGCCCTGTCGAGGTTTTCTTGCTCCAAATGTTCTTCGTTTTTCTTACATCAATTTATTGTAACAAATCACACCAAAATGGGTCAAGATTTGGTAAATCGGGGCTCTTTTAATCATGCTTGACGTACTTCTCTGTTTAATTTGGTTTTAATTCATTAGGTTTCGAGATTTTTTTCTACCACCAATAAACAATACCTTGGCAACTTTTACTTATTTCATTTAACTCAAGATTTAGCGGCTCTCACTCGAAAGTGTGTCCTTTAATTATTTTCTGCTGTGTATATGCCTTTTAATTACATCAGTATTTCTTGAATCTCGGAATAAATGCGGTGGGTCCGAGCCACAGTTAATTAGGAGTTCTAAATTGGTTTTATTGAGTTCGTCACCTGGTTTCGAAAGACAGCTTTTTTCTTTTTTTCTTTTTCTTTCTTCTTCGCGCTTAATTGTAAAGAAGTGTTTGCGATAAATGCACGTATCACATAACATGAATCAACAATGTCATTTCTTTTTTCTCGGCGAAGCTTTTGCGTTAATCGAAAACCATTCAATCGCGCCCCAGGTTATGAGATAAATCTAAGTTTGCTTGCTAAAACACTTCTTTCGGTTCCAAGTAAAAAAAAAAAGCCACGCCCGACCTTATCAACTGGAAAACGTTTTACTTCGGGGCGACAACAATGTCATAATCAAGGCGAGGTATATTAACTGATGCTCAAATCTGCCACGGTTAGCTACAATAGGGAAGCAGGTCAAACAAAAACAGCGGCAGTGTGCGATTTTTTTTGGTCGAAAAGAAGTGAAATGAACTTTTTTGAATTTACCTGGTTTAAATGCAAAATCAATAAACAAATAATATTCCACAATGCGGTTAAATAACGCACTGGAAGTTGAAAGAAATTCAGTTTCTTTTAATTTTCGCTTCTGTACTATGCTTTATTCCATCATTACATCGCTAACAAAAGCGCGTGCCATCAGAATTCTTTTCAACTCAATCAAAATTTTTACTTCAAATGAAACAGGTCTACATTACTCAGATTGCAGCGCACATAATTGAAACCTTATTGCACTTAAATAAGAATAACATGCGAAAATAATTCAGTGTGCACACAGGAATCGTTTGCTGTGCAAGGCTGTACAATTTTTCGTGAATGGTCGCCGTTTTGCGTGAGACCGAACTTTCTAGCTTGTTTAACAAAGCGGAAAATTGCATAAGGATAGTTGCGATTTTTTTGGTCCTCAATTTTTAAAATAAATTCTTTTTGCTGCCTCACTGATACTGATTAAACACAATGTATTTAATATTTCAACATTTCGGTTTAATTACTGATAAATCCTTATTCACCTTGAATAGGAAGGTGGGGGATAATTCGAAAAATAGACTTCAAAATCTTTATGGCCATAGCTACCAGAACATTAACAATGCTTCACAAAAACTTCGCAGTGAGAATAACAATTTAACAGTTGCTAAAAATGTAATAGATATATCTTCTCAGCGGCATGATAAAGTTTTTTTTTTTTCGCTCAATTGTACGAAGTACGTATTAACAATACTAAGTTGAATGTCGCATACTTGTTCGTCTTCTTTTTTGTCATCAAATCGGTATTCTATTTTTTAAAGAAATAATGTTTTGATTTTCTATATGAAGAGGATTTAGTTATTTCAATTTCGATTTCACACTGTTCGTAAAACGCTTTGTATAATTTCCAGCTCAGCGTGAAATATTTATCTTGGAACTGAACTACTGGGACCACTTTCCACATTTCCTGCGCCCTATTGTACGTTTGAAAACAGGAAATAGTGTCCAACCGGGCTATGAATTGCAGGCGATTTTGTGGGAATATTAATTCTAGCGAAATGCCTCGTTGTTTGTTATTGAAAAAAACTACAAGTTGACTAATCTTCTGTGTTCTTATTCTGTTTATAGCAGAAGACCAAATGTACAAATTTAACCCCGAACGAGTTAAAAACAACGTTGTACCTGGCAGACTTAAATGTACGCTTTGCAGACGAGGCTTCAACTCTCGTAGTAATTTGCGTTCACACATGCGCATACACACGCTTGAAAAACCGTTCCAGTGCAAGTACTGCAAGAAGTCGTTTTCTCAGTCATCAACGCTTCGGAACCACACCAGGCTCCACACGGGGGAAAAGCCTTACAAGTGCAAAGTGTGTCACTTCGCCTACTCGCAACTAGCAGGACTACGAGCTCATCAGAAGTCGGCGAGGCATCGGCCATTGCACGAGGCAGCGAAGGCAGCCGCCCAGCAGTCGAAAAGCCTCCACGATGAAACAGCTCTCAGTGAACTTTCACCAGACTCTCCTGATTTAGAAAGCATCTCGCAATAGTTACTTTTTACTTATAAAAAAAATAATAACTATTACAACATAAGAAATAAATATGTATGATAAAAAGCGTCCATTGAATCACCGTTTCATAGTTTTCCTTCGGAACGCAAATTACTCTCAATTGATCCGGATCATCTTTATTAACCAATAGTGTATAGTCCAGAAAAAGATTCTAGAATCTAGTAGAAAAAGTTTCATATAAAGGCAAAAAGAGAGCTGTAAAAACGAGCATTTAATACACATTATATTTGATACTACAAATTTAAACTAAAATAGAACATTTCAAAAATTGGTCCGTTAATCTACAGCCGCGTGGTCTCTATAGCGAATAGTTAATTTTTACTATGTGCGACTGATAGGCTGATCAAAGACTGCAAACAAATCAGCGAAAATGGTAATCACAAAGTACTTATGCACTTTTCAGTTGTATATAGTGTAAATATTTTGTAAAAAATTTGCAAGCAAGCTTTATGAACTCTGTAAAGTGCCTTACTATGCTCATATTTAACCTGTCAATTTGATTGACAGGTTAGATCGTTTAAAATATATGGGTGGACTTTAGGTTTACTCAAGTACCGTTTTATAGGAAATAAACAGAAATCCCACCTCACGAAATTGCTGTGTTGTATTTGACATTGAGCGGTCTAAAAGCATCACCCTCGACAGAAATTCAAGTTGCTAAACTGCACTGTAATTTCCAAGGGGAAGTAAAAATATGATATTATGTCAAAATGTTAAACTTGCGGGTCAAACAAGAAAATGGAAAGAGGCATTCACCTGAAGAACATAATAACAAGTGAATAAAGAAAAACTTTAGCCTTTTCATCAAAGTTCAATTTCCTACTTAACTAGGATGGCACGTTTTTTCTTTATTTAGCAGGTATTTGCTCTTAGAAAAAAGGGTTTCCGATTTTAATCTTTATGGGTTTTAAATTCCTTGCAGGGAGTTTGTTTGAGATCACTGTACTTCCTCAAAAAAGAGGAGATTATGTCGTAATCAGATTTATATTCAAAAACGTGTTCGAGTTTTTTATTTCTTGCTTTTCATATTTCTTTTTACTACAGGCAGTCCAAAAACTTCTCTTTATTATTTTTCGTTTACTGAGTTACCTGTTATGTCCATGCGCTTCAGTTCATTCTAATTTACTTTGTGCAAAACAACATTTTTTCCTACATTGACAAAAAAATCGTATCACACAGAGCTTATATTTTCTAAAATCCGCCAGATTTGTCACTAATATCTTCAGAAAAAAAATTAAAAGCAGCGAAACAGCCAAGTAAGATAGCTATATCAAAAGCGAGAAATACAGCCGGCGTTTGGTTTTGAATTACGGCGTTTACTTGTCATTTTATGGAATAAAAGGATGATAACGGCTTTGTTTCAAAACGTCGCAAAACATGAAAGTTACGATGGCCTTGTACGTTGTTATCGGCAAATCTGGTCACTAAGTGATCTTTAAGCAAAGCGCAAGTAATGTAACATATAAACCCCAGATTTGTCCTGATAACAAGGGCTTTACAGACCGGAGCTGAGGGCAAAGATACGATCTCCTTTAACCGCTTATTTGATTGATAAAGCACGCAACTAAGAGACCGAAGTCAAATTTTTTGGCTGTGACCTAATTTTTCCTTACGGGTTATTTAATGCGAATAATAAAGCAATTTGCAGAATTTGTTATCGCTGTCGGTGGTCAGTCGCGCCGCCAAATTCATTAAACGACTCCACCGTTAGAGTTAAGTATTTTTTCATTTAAACTTTAACTACCCCCAGAGTGATTACAATATAGGAGATATCCGATTTGTGGTGTCTTCACTGCACTGGCTAGTTCTAAATAAAAGAAGAGACGTTATGATTCTTGCGGCAGCCCAAATCTGGCTTACAGATCACTTAACGGCGAAAAGTCTATGTGACGCTTCCAAGATACTAGAGAGATCAAAGAGTTTTTCCCTTATAAACCATTTTTCTGCACCTGCGGTTTATAATTTTTCGACAGAAGAAAGGAGTGTGTATTGAGTTGTCTCGTCTGTTATAATGGCGGAAAAGATATGTAAAACTGACAACCAACTTTTTCCTTGTATAGCGCAGAAAAGGCAAAAAAAAGGAAATACGAAAAGAAATAAAAAAAATAACAGCGCCTAGGTATAACGCTTTAAAGTCGAGGGTGGTACCCCCTTCCCCTATAGTTTCACCGTAATGACCAATTTATGAGCATATATTACTATAGCGGCTGAGCTTGCGCATGTAACCTATTCTCGTCGCAGGGTTACAATCAGACTGAAAAGATATACGGTGTTCTTCCCAGGGCAGCAAAATGCTAGTAACTGGAGAGAATTGACGGGGAAAGAAGCTTGTAGCCCGCGGAACACAAGAGGCAACACGGCTTGGCAGTTGTTCGACGGGGAAGGGGAAGGGGAGGAGGGGTAATTCGAGCGCGAGAAGGGCGCGCGCCCTACGAGTTCTCGCACGCAGGAATTCCCCCTCCCCTCTTATTTCAACCTTCTTCCACGAACGGAGTAAAATTAAATGACTCACAAGGCCTCAGCTAAGCTATTCCCTCTTGGACACGGCGAAGTTTTCACTGGAATTTCACCTCACAAGACTATGACAAAAATATCCAGCTGATGATAAAAACAGTGAGTTGCTGAATATCTGACAAGTTTCATTTAACCTTGAGAGATGAATTTCTCCCTGTGTGCAGAAGAAACGAGAAACTGACTGAGCCAAATCTGATATAGGCGTCAAAGGTAAGTGGTCAATGAGGACGGCATTTTTTAAAGGGGTACTCAGGGTGGGTCCTGGGGTAGAGATGTGGTTACAGGCGTTATTTCTAGTCTTTTACGACGCAAAGATAAGGGAAAAGTATTCTAAGGTAGACGGGAATGAGTAAAATTCCTTTAGTTTAGACACGGGCGGTGAAATAGCTGCAGTAGCATCTTTATCAAGCACGACGCAAGCGCAGCAAGAGCGCGGCACACATGGAAAAAGAACTGAGTAAAATTCCAAGCGCGGAATTTAGCTCAGTTTTTTCCTCTTCTGCGGCAATTTCTTCGCATAATTTGGCTTCGTGAGGCCACGAACTTGTCGTAGGAGTAACGCTGACCAACATGAGACATGGACAGGAGAAAAGCTCTTGAAACCTTAGCAGAAACAATCTTCGTTCTGGCTCAATTTTTTTCGTTGATCTGTTTTTGATACTGAGATGTGTCTAGTTTACGTTTTTGAAATCTGGAGATCTCACTTAAAAACACAGCTGAGGACCGACCGCGATTCTATGAAGGTTTCTCCTCCAGAATTACTTCAGTCGCTGAGACATTTGTCAAACACCATCTTCAAATTCTAGCTTTAAAGCCATGTGAGCACACGACCGGAACTAAGTTTGGAAATACGTTTGAGTTCGCAGGCTAAAACCTGTGATCCTGACAAAATTGATTTCCCGATCTTCGGGATTTTCGCGAAAACACTTTCCACCGAAATTAAAAGGAGAAGCAAAAAAACAAAAATCTGGGAAAAGCCTCGCACTCAAGCGAAAGTCGTGCTATGCTAGGAGGGTAGGAGGCTTGGAACCGAACGCGATAGCGTAAGATCGTCCACCCAACCGGTCACAAATGAACACGCCGAGGACAACTGGAAACCAAGCAGGAGAGGAATTTTGCCTTTTGAGCATGCCCGAACGAAGTGCGCTGTAATTTGGCAATGTTTTGGACAGTTTTGCATCTCATTTGTGGCCAGATGGTGACCAGAGAACGTCTCGACTAGCTGAAAACAGCGTTTATCCAATCAACCTATACATCACAACCTTAGTCATATCAAGGAAATTCTATGACCAGTTGGTGTGTGCTGAAATTGCAAAATTGGCGCGACAGAGAAACCGAGAGATTGCCTCGTAAAAGTACTTTAATGTTTGCTCGTTTTAAGATTGAAGACAACACAGCAGTCTCCCTCTGTTAAACTGGCCAAAATAAAGTTTTGGGCGGTGCTAACTACAATACACGTGCGGTACCTACTTCTCGTCCATAGGTACCTCTTCGCCGAGGTACGAATTCCGGAGAAAGTCGCAGCTAGATAGAGAACAGACGGCTTTATGCACGTGACTAGGTGTGACGAGCCTACAACCATATGACGCAGTCTTGTCAGTGGCATAAGCCCAAGACCGTCGTATAATATCGTCGGCAAACCTTTTAGTTGCCATTAGAAGGAGGCTTTCCACTACATGAGTATAAACGCCGTCAATATCGACAGGCTTGAGCGAGATTCCGATATCGCTACACGCCTCACGTATCCACTCTTGTTCCAGAGTGGGGCAGAGTGAGAACATTCTTGGCTTCTTTTCTGGCGATTTATTTTTTCCCTCTTCAGGAAAGAAACCCACGACATCTACTTCCAAGTTCTCTGATTCAGTGCAGGTTAGTGGTACATTAGGAAGGCAACCTTCTTTACCTTCCAATTCTGAGAAAAGGCGACTTGCTGACGTACAGCTGTTGAACGTTTGTTCCTCGCATTTGTGAGTAGCCGCTTCTTGAGCTTCATCTGATGCCGCATCACCAATACAATGCCCACAAAATTTACAGAACATACAATTCTCACCCACTTTATCACATGGCGTGTAACCAAGCCGACGACACCACAACAAGATATCTTTCGTGCTCAGCTTACCAGTAGGTATACATCGGCAAATAGATCTTCTAACAGCCGCTGCCCTCTGCCACTCACAGGCTCTTCTCTTGGCGATGTTCCAGCTGCGGAACTGCTCAACTGAAGACGAACAATAAGGATACTTTATTACGTTTCTCTCAGGTTGAATTAAGGGGTGTTCTTTCATTGCCGATCGCAAAAGCTGATGCATTTCCTCCGACATCTTGTTCACCTTAACGTTTTCTGATTCGGGCTCTGGGCTTGTACAACGAGAAGCTGGTTGACTGTTTACTGGTGTGGACGGAACCGATGACGGGCTCGCTGAGAGTGGAGACTCCAATTTGAATCTTTTGAGCTCCCTTGGACTGTCTAAAATCGCCGAATACTTGACCAAAGGTAACATTTTAGACTGTTCTTTATTGAGGCTTGCGTTGTCAATGTAAGGACGTTGATCACTGTTGGTGGAAACGGAAATCAGATTTGTAGCAAAACTTTCTTCTAAGCTTGGATTAAGAGCTATA